AATCATTAATTTTAAAAGCAAATGCATTTAATGTAATGATTTTCATAAAATATCCTGACTCTCAGAATATATGAAATGATTTCTTTTACTTTATTTTCATTTTAACTAGGGGCTACATGAAATTTAATTTTAAAAATGAGAAGGAGCTACTGTTAATTTAATCATTTAATGTTAAAGACTTAATAAATATTTATTATTAAAATACCTTATGTGGTTAAAATTTATTTGCACTGTGTTCACTACAGCCCTCTCCATAGGCATTTATTCTGTCACACTGAATCTCAGGGGATAGTTACTTGTTTACCGTCCTCAGGAGGTATTGTTCATGTGTCTGTAAGGCCCTTCAAAAGCTGTGGTAAAGTTGGATCTCCTTTGAATCACTGACTCCACACATACTGAAATGTTTTAGATAACAACTAGCACTAATCTCAAGGACAAGGAAGAACTTTCTGACTTCAATTGTGAAATTCATTTGGCTGTAAGATCTGCTGTTCTAGTCGTGAATACAAACATGGACTCAGCCAGCACGCATTAGTAGATCACAAAGCCTGACACGGCACATCGGGAGCCAGCCACTCACTTATGCAAACTAGAATAAATTGATGGAATGAATTAAAGATAATTCTATCCTCTGAAAACTTTTTAAAGAGAAATGCTGCATAATGTAAATCCACTTTCTTGAAAGACTTTAATACAATGTTATTAGCCGTGCATGTTAAATCAACTTGGACAAACTTTTGGGTTTGGTTCTTACTGTGTATTTATTTTTACACATTATTCAAATTTATATTGAACACTGAAATGTGTCTTGCATTTTGTAAGTTAAGATATGCTAAATAATAGATACCAATAGTGTTCTCATTGGGGTTTATCATCTGTGAGAAGGTTATAGAGTGCTGATGGATGTTGTGGTAGAGAGAGGGATGTGTAGATGTGGTGGGACAGGGAAGGAGTACTTAGACACTAATGGAGGAGGCATGTTCATGCTCAATGTGTGTGTCTATACACAACAGTTCCCAATTCTATTCTAAAGATTATTACACAAACACAAATAGATACTTTATAAGAGCCATCTGACTGATTTCATCTTCTAAGGACTTTCTCCACCAGGCCATGTTAACGTGGTGCATTATAGCACCTTCCACTGCTTGTCTTAGCTATTTTGATCAAGGCCAAGATCTCCACATTCCCAAACACTATAGCATAAGTACCTTCAAATTTGTTTTTCAATAATTCTCTACTTATACGACTTTTAAAATGATTCAAATTATCTGCCTAATCTTTGTTAATTAAAATCAGAGCAAAGTAGTAAGATTGGAATTAGAACTCCCACATAAGGGTCAGTTAGAATTTGGATTATGAGTAAATAGTTTTTACTCAAGTTACCAAAACAGAAATTATACACATTCAGACTGTTGTAAAGATGTCCCTTGTATCCGTGTGCTCAGATCCTATTATGCTTTGGGAGAAATCTTAATAAATTTTTGGTGGGGTATGGAAGGAGAAAGATAATAGATAGATAGATAGATAGATAGATAGATAGATAGATAGATAGATAGATAGATACATCAAGTCTAAGCCATATATATTGTAATTGTTGTTGTTGTTGTTATGTGCTGTCGAGTCGCTTGCAACTCATAGCGACCCTATGTACAGCAGCCCTAAATTCTTCTCTGTCCTCTGCCAATCTCACTGTCTCTGACACCCCCTTCCTGATTACCCCAGTCACTGAATCAATCCACCTCATAGAGGGACTTTCCATCCTGCTCTGTCCCTCCATCCTCCCAAGCATGATGTCCCTCTCCAAGGACCTGTCCCTCCTTACAACATGTCCAAAGTATGTTAGACGAAGCCTCAGAATCCTTGCCTCCAAGGTGCTGTCCACTTAACCCTCTCCAGGATGAATCTGTTTGTTTTCCTAGCAGTCCATGCTACCCTCAATACTCTTCTCCAGCACCACAGCTCAAAGGCGTCAATTCTCCTTCTATCCTCCCTGGTCATTGTCCAACTCTCTGCTGCATTAACAAGTGATAGCAAAGACCATGGCCTGTATCATTATAGTTTTCTAATAACCTTGTCAACTCTACTAATATAATCAGTTGCCCAATATTGCTTCCTAACAGTGTTAAATCAGTCTTGGAGGGAAGTATAATCTGGGTTCTCCTTGGAAGCAAGATACTGAAGCTCACATACTTCAGGCATGTTGTCAAGAGATATAGAACATCAGAAAAAGAGAGATGGATTGACTCAGTGACTACAACAATGGATTTGAGCAGGATGGAGATTGTGAAGATGGTGCAGGATAGGACAAGGTTTCAACCTATTTCTCATGGAGTTACTGTCAGTTGTGGTCAACTCGCTGGTGCCTAAAAATAACAGCATTCTCATTTGATCCCGATTCCTTTTACTAAGCCACCAGAGTTTCTGTCTGACTCATAGTGACCCTTTAACATAAGAGTAGAACTACTCCAGGCTTCTGTAGGAGAGCAAGTGGGTTTAAAACATTGACCTTTTAGTTAGCAACTGAATGCTTTAACCACAGCCAACTGGGGTCATTCTGAGAGGGAGGTAGTTGCAAAGATTGAGAGTCATTAACTGTCCTTTATTTCATTTAATAGTGAATGAATAAGAGATAAGCAACCTTGAGAAGGATATGAAACTATGTTTTGCATGCCAGACTCCCTGCATGGAAACGTTCTGCATGGAAGGAGATTGTCCATCCTTCTGCAGAGGAACTGGTGGCCTTGAACCGTGTTCCTTTGGGATTGCAGTACAGCTTCTTTCCACTAGGCCACCTGAGCTCTACTCAACAGACAGGGAAAGATAACTTGATGCAGGAAGGGCTGCAGGCCTGAGGGCTCTTCAGGGATTGAGCCACTGCCTGCCTTAAACACTAGGCCAAGCCACAAGTACCCCGCTCCTGGGGGAATGGTGGGGGGGAGAGCAGCACTGCACATCAAACACAAGCCCGAATTATTGTTGTTGTGTACCTAGAGTCAGAACTGACCCATAGCTGACCCTCAGCAGGTTTTCGGAGGAAGTTAATCTTAAGGTTGGAGATTGCCCGTCCTCCCTGGGAGCAGCCGGTGGCCTTTGGAACTGCAATGCAGTTTCTCGCCACTAGGGCACAAAAGCCTTTCAAATTAATTATTGTCGTTGTTGTTGTTAAGTGCCGTCAAGTCGCAGGTGATTCATAGCGACCCTATGAAGGAGAGTCCTCACGCTTGGGTGCCTTTCATCCTCTCTCCAGGTTCATAGGGTTTCCAGAGGCAAGCTATTATGGAAGTGGACGCCACTCCTTCTTCCACACTTGTTTAATCGGGGAGCTCCACCCCACTCTCTGTCCGCACTGGGTAGCCAACCATTAACGCATTTGACACATCCGTGTCACAGTGTTCAGCCTCACAGCAACCACAAGTGACCGCGGGACGGCAACTTGTACACCAGGGCTATACGACCTAGAGGAATTAATTATAAGCAATCTAAATATTAATTATTTAGTAAATAAACCAACAAATTGTTGTATGTGCATGCAGTGAAATTTGGTAATAAGAAGCCAACTTAAAAATTTCTTAACTATGGTAAATAAAATAAAATATACTTTCTTCCGTATTGTATGCTTCCATTTGCATGACAGATTATAAAAGATAAAGCTGTAGTGGTAGTGTTTCTCAGGCTATGGGGGCCACAGGTGGGAAAGGAGGTCAGTAACAGGGTGATTGAAGACACTTCACATTGAGGGATTGATTCTCTATTCTGCTTATACGTGCAGAGTCTTATTTTAGTCTAATGACCAAGAACACTAAACCCCTCACTTAAAATAAATGGGTTTTAATATCTCAAAGTAACATTTTAACAAACAAAAAGAGGGGAAAATTAAGTTATTTTGTGATACTGATTTCCACAGAATTAGACCTGAATAAGAGGTAGCTTATTTCAACTCAGAAAAATAAGACAAAGCAATATCTACTTCCTCAATTAATTAAAAGTACTATAAACTCATGTTTAAATTTCTCAAAAGCAAGAGATCTAAAGTGATTATACATTTTTTATCTGAATTTCTATGTTCAATAAAAATTTTATATTCATTTAAATTAAATTTATTTCAGATGTTTGTGACTTTAAATACGAACATATTAGAATTGTTGTTGATTACAGTCAAGTCGAACACGATTCATAGCTACCCTATGAACAAAAGGCTTGAAGCCTTTCTATAACTATAGACATTTAACAAAGTTCATAGAGTATCCAGAGGCTTGTTGTTTAGAAAGTGGGTGCCACTCCTGCTTCCAAATATTTAAAATATCTCGCGGTGTTTTTTTTGTGTGAGAGAGCTTCACTTGATAAGGTATTTCAAAAGATAAATGTGTTCCTTTAAATTAGGCATATTGAGATGAAGAATTGACTAGAAATCTCTGTTGTTGAAATGTATGTCAGTTAATGATTATCAACAGCATTTATTTCTATTTATTCTCTAGGTTTTTTTTTTTTTTATTTTACCGCATTCCAGCCATTTATCATAATACATTTTGAGGGTAGTAAAAAAAAAAATAAAAGTCAAGACAGCACTTTCTAAGATGAAATTTGGTCTCCTAGAGACCAGGGTTGAGTCCATCTTTAAATCATATCCATTTAAAGATTGCCTGAAGGTTTAAATTCACAATCCATTTCTCTCCTTGGTGAAACAGATTTAAGTAATGGAGCGCTTGTCAGTGTTGATGTTTTTTCCATCATTCTAACATTCAAAATGCTGCAATAACTTTTATTCATAGTCCTCTCATTCTAAAGAGAGTCTGTTTATGAAACAAATGGATCTGTCCATGAATGCTACCTTGATATTTGTATCCCATTTTTAATCTGCTCATCAGAAGTGTCATTTCCTTAGTTTGTTTAGATCAGATCATCTTTCCTTAGCATGCCATTCTTACATGTAGTGAGGCCTTAGATGTACTATGTGCCATGAATCCTTTCTCCTTTTAATCGTAATTATTCTATTTCAGAAATTATACTGTTGTTAATTCCAAAATCATCGTGGTCACAATCAGGCCTGAACCCAAAACAACTGATTCATTCCTGGAGATTGAACTAGCACATTTGGCTAATGTAAGTATCATCCATTTGATGCAGTGTTACTTATAAAATTAATTGTAACAGTTTAGGAGGCATTGTTTTGGTCAATAAAACCACATTTTAAAACCATACCTTATTTTGTAGAATAATTATACTAACAAATGTGTGGATTTGTTATACATTGATTTTATATACAAACAAAGCACCATACTAATCTATTCTTTCCTCCTGGTTAAATGTTTCACTTTATTCAAAGAAATAGTTGATAATTTGTTAAAGTATTAGTGCATTTAGTGAACATAGTGCCCTGATGGCATAGTTTATAAAGTGCTTCTCAGTTTACCAAATGCTGTATGTCTCCAGGAGTTCAAATCCCCCAGCTGTTCCTCAGTAGAAAAATGGCCAGGCTCCTCCCCTGAGATTTATAGCCTCAGAAATCTAACAGAGGGTCAGTTCTGACTTGACAGCAATGAGTTCTGAGTTAGACTGATTGTTATGTTTATTTTATAACCCAAATTATGTTCTTTTCATTTTTCATCTAAGAGAGGAGTAGATGACTAATATTTATTAAGCATTTTACTATTTACTAATATTTTTATAAAGATATGTCCCATTTCCTGATAATAGTTTACTCCATCAATGATATTGTTGTTGTTGTTGCTGTTATGTGCCGTCAAGTCGTTTGCGACTCATAGCGACCCTATGCACAACAGCCCTAAACCCTGCTCTATCCTGAGCCAAACGCACTGCCTCTGACACACCCATCCCGATTACCCCAGTCACCGAATCAATCCATCTCATAGAGGGTCTTCCCCTCCTGTGCTGTCCCTCCACCCTCCCAAGCATAATGTCCCTCTCCAAGGGCCCGTCTCTCCTGGCAACATGTCCAAAGTATGTCAGACAAAGCTCCAGAATCCTTGCCTCCAAGGAGTAGCTCGGTTTAATCCTCTCCAAGATGAATCTATTTGTTTTCCTGGCAGTCCATGGTACATTCAGTACTCTTCTCCAGCACCACAGCTCAAAGGCATCAACTCTCCTTCTGTCCTGCCATCAATGATATACACAGTGAAATTCCTAAATAGAAGTATAACCATCTTGCCTAAACAGTGAAGAAAAGAGTTGTCTTAATCACTGGAACAAGCTGAAACTTCATATTGAAGTACAACCTTAGTTATTGCATTCATAATTGAAGCCTTTCTAGTTATTACTAACAAATATTCTTTCTGTCTACTTAACTGGTTTTCGCGGATGAAAAGTATGTGAAAATACCTTCCTGAACTCAGGAAAGGATAATAACTTGAAAAGTATATATCTAGTTCATGTGACATGTGGAGGAAAAATGAGGACTAGGAAATAATAGTTTAATGAGTCTAGGGAAAAGCCTGCTAACATTTCCTAATGAAATGTGTTCGTATAAAAAGCTTTTTAACAAATAGCATTTACAATATATTAAATATAATAAGACCTTTGGGAACTGGTAGGTTTAGGCAATAGAATGTGGAACCTTGAAACTCTAAATTGCACTTAGCAAAGCCAATTACAATTGTAACCAGCGCATAAGCCATTAATGAGTAAATTGCTATTTTTAGTACAGATATTTGGCTAAGGATTATGTTTCTCTTACTAAAGAGTCATAGTTTGTGGCCCTAATTGCTAAACCACAGGGACTGCTTTTAAGGAATATCAATTTGTTTTCCCAGAAAAATAATTTTATTTCATTTTACTGAAATTATTATTGGAGTGCCATTTTCCCCTATCAATATTGCTGCCATCTGTGTCTATGGTCAGAAAGAAAGGGCACAAGTTAATATTTTTATTAACAGTGGTTGTTGGGACTTTAACAGATGAAGTTGAAGGGATCTATAGGTGTTACAGTTGTTGATTGCCATTAAGCATGACTCACAGCGACCCTGTGAACAAACTATCAATATTTATCGGAGTTCATTGACTTTCCAAAGGCATGTTTAGGAAGTGGATAGCACTCCTGCTTCCAAATACACATACACTAGTACAAACAAATTCCAGAGCACACACATATACACACCATTATATGTATATATGTGCTGACCAGTCAGGATCTAGTTTCCTTTTAGAGTGGATAATTTCCCTCTATTTAAAGATAAGTTAAAATATTGTTAAATAAATGTGTTTCAATTCTCTTTTGCACCATCACCTATGTCAGTTTGAAAATATTTTCTTTTTTCCAAGCAAAATATCATTGTGTGTTTCCATTTTGATGGATAAATGAGATGATACTAGCCTGTTGTCTTGTCTTGTTTGTTTTTGTTGTTTAATGCCGTCGAGTCATAGACGACTCATAGCGACCCTATGAATGAACAGCCTGAGCACTGTTCATACATAGAGTTTCCAGAGGCAAGCCATTTTGGAAGTGGATGCCACTCCTGCTTCCAGGCTTGATTTAGTCGGGAAGCTCCAGCCAACACTGTCCCCCATGGGTCCCATTACCACGACTGGCACATCACTGTCACAGTGTTCAGCATCACAGCAACCATGAGTTACCTCTGCACAGCAACACACAGACCAGTGCTATACCACCAGAAGAATGTTTGATAGGAAGACAATTTGAACCTGGCCGAGGGCCACAGATAACAATCACCCACCTTCGGCTTGGTAGCACAGCTTCCTTCCACTAGGCCAATGTAGGTCTCTCTTGGTCGTCGTCATTGTCTTGTCTTACCTTTCTTTATATTTTTTTGAGCAACAGAATTCTAAAGGCATAGATAGGATGTCAGTGTTATCTTTCGGGATCAAAAGAAAACATCAGATTTACTTAGCATTCTCAGGCTGCTCATACATGCAGAAGATACTATGGGAAATGGCTATTTAATAGAGGGTGGTACTGGTTCCCCAAAGCCTCTGGTGGTTTGAATCCACCAGGTCTTAAACAGGAGAAGCATGCTGTCTCCTCCCTCTGGAATTTACTGTCCTGGAAGCCTGCTGGAGGATCTGCTAGGGGTGAGGATTTTTGCTCTGCCAGTGAGAGAGAGATAGAGCCAAACAGGGAGAGGGTAAGGGAAATATTATATTTTCAGGGACTATGAAGTCTTTACAGACACAACACTGAGAAGATTCCTTACCAGGAAATCAGTGTTTAGCATCTTCTCATAGATTTGACTTTGGAAAAAAAATCTATGGTATCCACTAAGATCTTATTCCTTCTTACATATAGCCTCAGCATTTCTTAATGTGTAATATTCCTAATTACTACTATAATTGTACTATAAAGGTTGTAATACCATGCTCAGCTCCTTTATTTTATAAATAAGGAGAGCAAAACAGTATGTACACCAAAGATGGTGACAATTTTCTAAAAATCCTATCTTTAATAGATACTGGTTTTGCTGTTGAAACAGAAAAGAAGTGAAAGAAAAGCAAAGACCACTAAAGATACTTGAAAATTGTGTGCAAAATAGCGATAGTAATTGAAAATGTCGGTTATGGTACATATTTAAAGTGCTTAAAATTGGTGATAAGAAATATTTCATGTTTAGGAAAGAACAAGTTCAATTACACTGCTTTGAATCAAGCCAAAAAGAGATAGTGTTTTGTTTGTCAGCCTATTTTTGATCAAAATTACGTTTGCCAAGAATAGCATATACTTTCCAAAAGTTTTCAAATATGTGCAGTTTTAATACATTTAAGTGTCAGTTGTACTGGTAATTTATAAATGAATGAGCTTTACCCCATCTGTTTCTTTTACCTGACGATTCCGTTTTCTTTATTTAATGCATTTCTTAAACCCACTTTCTTAAGTTAGTGCACAGCTTGCTTGCTTTCCTCTTGCCCTGCCATTACATTTTGTTACTGCTCTCTGTTGGGCTCAGCATTTCCTGCTATCGATTTCCTGTAACTTCCTCATAACGGATTGTGTAGCAGGGGCCTTTAGAGAAACATATCTGAAAATTTCTAACAAATAGTGTACAAGTGGCTTGTGGATAGAACCCTTTAGCTAGGTTTTGCCATTGTGCCTGTTACTATTTAGACTTTACTCATAGTTTGTGTTTTGCTTTAGATTTACTGTTTCTTATTCCAAAAATGACTCAACTGTTCGAATACAAAGATTTCTTAATTGATTTCTTTTATCTCTTTTTCTAAACTTTATATTTATATATGAGTCTTTGATCCTAATAACAAGGTATACATATTGATGGCTGTGTTAGAATAAGGGAGCTCTGGTGGCCTAGTGGTAAGTACTTGTACTGCCAAGTCAAAGGCACGTAGTTCAAATCCATCAGCTTCTCCATGGAAGAATGGATAATCTCCTCCCAAGTGATTTATAGCCTCGAAAAACCCACTGGAGGATTGGGTGTGAATCACTTCCAACTCAATGACATGCACGGAGTTGGTTCTGTGCTAGAATTAATGTTCCCAGTGGGGATGTATTTGGGCAAAATGAATATTTTTGCATAGCCTTAAACAATGCAGTATGAAACCTATTAACATTCTCACTTAGATGTTGCTCAGACTTCCACGAGTGCAGAGAGAAAGAAATGAAGCTTGTAATAGAGTATAAGTTGTGAGAGGGGGAGGGAGCACATACAAGATAAGACTGAGCATTAATAAAGATGTGGAATAAGAGTAAAGGAAACATTTCTCCTATTTACACTTCAGTCTAAAAGCTGCAGTGACTTTAAGAGATTAAGAGAGGTATAAAGCATGCAAAAGACAGGTTTTTATGATGAACACATTGTTTTTTGCATCTAACATTTCTTTTCTTTTGTTAAAGGCTGTTGTGAATAATAATCATGAGATACCAAGTCTGTAGTTGTGTAAACAGTGCTCTGTATTAGTTTCTACAGAGATTAACATCACCGGATTCATACATTTTAAAGAGTGAATTGAAATTACAAGTCCTGCATCCCCAGGAAGAGAATAGTGTCTTAAACCTTAAAAGAAACACAATGTGAATGGAGGAATGTGTGAAATGCAATGTATATGAAATTTTTAAAAAAGTATTTAGTTGATTAGATCACTGAAGCACAATTTTTTAAAAATAAACAAACAAGAGCAGCCTTGTCAAATGTAGCAATTGGTCTCCACTTCGATGGAACACAATTGTAAAAAGATAATCAAACTCTGAGAAAAGAAAGATATCTCCAAAGATGATAACCTACACAAGCCCCGACTTCTGTCTATAAGAGACCAAAAGTTCGACATTTACTCTAACAGGGGAAAATGAAGAGGTAAGGGTGCAGGGAATGTAGAGTACTGGAAAAGGGAAAAACGGAACAAAAGAGAATGTGGACCCACTGCAAAAAATCAGTTACTAATGTCACTGAAAAATTGTATAGCTATTGTCAAATGATAGCCTAACTTGCTGTATAAACTTCCACTAAAAACACAGTAAAATAGTACAAAACATTTTAGAAAACGTGAGCTACATTTAAAGGATTTGTTATCTCTGATTTCTCACTTATTTTTGGCTTTTAAATTCATGAAATGTGCACTCCCATGCCCTTGACTGAGATATGTCAGTGACAACCTATTGTCTATTAAGTGCTGTAGATATAAATATAGTTTGATTTATGATATGACATTTTGATACAATATTTTAGCTGTGCTAATACTTTCTGAGAAATGAACAAACTATCCCGAAAACTCAGGCAAAAGTAGACAGAGTCTCATAATATGGCTAGAAAACAACATGAAATATATTTACACTGTAGTTCTTTGAACATCCAGATCTGTATGTTGTGTAAGAGACAGATGAATACACACTTCTGCCCCGAAACTGGTTGTAACTACCATAGGTCATAATACTCTGTACCTCAATTTTTCTTCCTAATACATTAAGAGAGGTGACATTTATATGAGCATTTCTATTGTATCCTAGAAACATTTCATATGTGTATTCATGTGAACTTTTTCCTGGATGGGTTCATTAGCATGTTCTAAAAGTATAATGTAGAGAGGAGTGTTTAACAAGAAGTAAAATACCCTAGCTAAGTACTCTTTGTGCATATGTGGGAATGATAAGAGAAGTGCAAAGTTGATCAATGTCCTCATTAAAATAAAAAAAACAAGTAAAATAAAAATTTCAAAATTTCAGAAAAGCAATCTTAATTTTTACTTATTACAAAATTTTAGACTAGATCAAATATTACTTAGAAAAGAAAAACTGCTATATCCTAGTTTAGACTTTCAAATATGTGATCTTTCCAGGTGCACTCAGGTGATTAAAATAAAGAAAAAGAGACCTGAGTGCTAATTCATAGCCACCTGGCACTAAGGGACCATGTTCACTTGAAGAAGGGAATTAATGTCCTATTTCAGGACTATCCTCTAGCTGCTTTGACCTGTCTTCAATTTTATCAATGATATGGAACCCTCATGAGGTAGTGCTTTATGTGCTCTGCTAAGCAAAAGGTCAGTGGTTTGAATCTATCAACTACTCCGTAGGAGAAAAATGTGTGCAGGCACCTCTCAAGGGAGAATAATGATCAGAATTAATGCAACAGTAGTGAGCTTGGTTTAGTGGATATGGATATAGGGACATAATTTCATGTTGCGCTGATGAAAAACTTTGAAGCAGTAGTGAATGTTTTGGATGCCAAAAGCAGGATCCAGAAGGCTATTAAGAGATAAAAATGCATGAGTATTAACTATCAGTCTCAGCAGGATTCTACCAAAATAAGTGACACAATCTTAATTTGGCTTATTAAGAATGTGGAGCCTAAGATGTAGACACAATAAAGTGACAAAACAAAAAAGCAAAAACACTAACACAGAGTCAACTCCAATTCAGTGTGATCATCTATATGATAGCAGTGGCTGTAAAGCTTAATAAGAAGAGAGTGTCCTCTTTCTCCTATAGAATGGCTAGTGAATGGGAATCACTGGCCTTTCAGTTATCAGTCCTACGTGGAAAACATAAAAGCACGCTTTATTCTGCACAACTCAGGCATAAGTGGATTATTTTACTAAAAACTGTTAAAAAGTATGTGCTCTAGGAAGTGAGTGACAGAGAGGATGTGAGAATTTGAAACCAATAGAGTATGTTTAATGGAAAAGATTCCAGGGGTA